ATTTCCATTTCTTGATTGAATCCTGTCAACTTTGTCGGGCTATTGATAGAGGATCAGGTTTCGTAGGCTTTATGCCTTTACTAGTGATTTCTCTTTGATATAGACCTTGAAGGCCTAATATGAATGTATTTAAATAAATATATCGGTCGCCACATCGTATATTTATTTGATGGTTCGAACCCTGTCGACTCCTATTGATCCGCATAGAATGATCGGATTCGAACTTTAATTCACTTATTGACCCGCGCAGCATCCCTAGACGTCACGTGTATACTTATAACATGCTCGTCGGGGCCCATGCGGGTGTTTGCGGGCATTTGATAATTAAACCCTATCAACTCCTTTTTACCTACTCAGGAGGATCGGGTTCAAATTTATTAACCTGTGCAACATCCCTTGATGTCACATGTATATCAATAACACGCTCACCGGGGCCCATGCGAGTATTTGGGGGTAAATTTTATGATTATTTGATGAAGCTTGTCGACTCCTACCTACCTACTTAGGAGGATCATGTTCAAATTTATTGACCAGCACAATATCCCTAGACGTCACGTGTGTTTCTAAAACATGCTCGGCCCATGAGGGTTTTGTGATTGCATTTATCCCATGTGTATTTATGTGTATACAAACTACGGTGCATGTACGGGGGTATTTTGCAATATTTGTAAACGTCATCTGTCCGCTTGCAAGGATATTGCGGATCTGGTGGCGTGTCGTAGTAGCTTCTGGATTAAGTTATTTGCTACTTTGTACAGGTAGATTGTCGTGCACTATTTGTTACTTCCTGCAGGTGGATCATAGTGCACTATCGAATCTTCTGCTTTATGTTTGTTAATGTTTGCATTCATTGTAGTTCTTTGGCATTTGTTCGTATATTGTGTATAATATTCATAGCGGGGCTCCAGCAGAAGCTCGTGGGAACTTATATCTGTCGCATTCTTTATGCACTTTGTTGTGGTATGTAGTACATCCGCCACTGCTACAAGTAGGCAGGTAAATGTATTCTTTCACAGACTAGAATTGACTTCAGGATACTGCATTTACTGAAGTCTTTCTGCATCTACCCATAAGTGGAATGTGGTGCATACATCTGTATTCGTAGAGAACCCGTATGTATTGCAGATCTTTTACATTAGCTCACAGATATCGAGTTGAATATATAACGGGCATCCTTCAGTAGCTTGTGAGTATTTATATTTGTTGTAGTCACTTTGCACTCTGCTTGTGGACAATGCATTGGGTGCCAATGGTCTCCCATAGCTGCTTGCAGGATTTGGTATTTGTCGCAGTCCTTTTGTATTTTGCTTGTGAATACCACGTTTGACGTACAATGGATATTCTACGATAACTCGTAGGAGCCTACATCCACTGCATATCTTCCATCTTTCCCTGTGTTGTTTATTGACTGCAAATGTGTTGTGGCATTTGTTATTCGTTGTTGATTGTCATCGTTGCACATGTGTATGTTTTGCTGCAATTGGTGTATTTGCTTGTGCGTCTTTCAATTCTTCTAGCATCTATTGTCTGTATTCTCAAGACATTACAAGCTTTTGTCAAGTTCTTCATTGTTGATAGAGAAGATTTACACTTTTGTTGGAATAGCTTTCATTGGTCAACTACAACATCCATTGGAGCTCTTATACGATAGTCATTCAATTGAGGTGATGATTCCTATTGATTGTTGCTTGGGGATGAATCATGCTTACAAATTAATTATCATGCTCCTAAGGCCCTCATGTAGTGACTTTGCGATCAAGCCATGCCTTTCAGAATCTCTTTTTGTATTTGACTTGAGATGATTGTCATTCATTTATCCTTTCATTTTCATAGGCATGTTACAAGAGAGTTGTTTGTTCAAATATTTCAAACTCCACATGATGCTATTTAGCTCATGTTCAAGATATCTCTTGCATTTGCTTACTTGATCCTTGCTTGAGTTCAAGTAGCAAGCTCAAGTTATAATTCAAGTTCTCATTTAGTTCTAAATTTGGACCTTTATTTATTCATTGACATAGGTCTCAGTTCTAGATTGAGTTTGAGTAGAAGTTCTAGGTCTTTTGCAATGCACTTAGATCCCTTTCATCATTCATTTGAATTCATATTTAGACTTATCATAATTTGTTTGAACTTGAGTTTTTATGCATTTTGTTTAAGTTCAAATTATCTGAATTCAGTCCAAGTCTAGAAGTCCTCTGTTGTCCTTTGAATTCAAGTGTTCAATGTCAAGTCCGCTACAATCCAAATATTTATCTTCAAGTTCAAATGCTTAAGGTCTTAGCACTTAGTTTCCTTGAGCTCGAGTCCTCGTTCAGTTCAAGTTCAAGTGCGAGTCCAAACTTATTTTTTTGTGGACAAAAAATCGGCAGCCTCTCGGCGTCTCTTCCATTTAGGGGAAAAAACCAAGAGACAACCTTCCCCTCGACGCTACGTTAGCGCTTCAAGTAGGTGTCAAAAGACACTGCAGTTGCATATTTTATTTTATCCCCGTCCGCTACATGAGCGTTTAAGGGGTTTTTTTTTCTAAATATGTCATTGAGGTCAACATTTATCAATAAATACCCCACTTTATATGGCAGTGATAACAAGATGGTGGATATTGCTGGAGATGAGTTCGAGTTTCTTGATGATATGAGAATATTGGAGATTGTAAATTTTTCTCTTGATGAATCAGAGTTAGAAGCAATGATATTTAATGATGATGATATTGACTTTTGAAGCTAATCATATTATTCCCTTTACTGAGTAGTTGAAGCTTGATGTTGTACTAAATAATTTTTTGCTCATATTTTTATGATTATATTAGACATTTTGTACTAAATATTTTATATTATAAGCTAGAAAAGTTATCATGTCATTGATTTATTATTGTTTGTCATTTATAATATGATGTTACATTAATTTCTATACACTATACAAAAAAAAATTGTAAAGCCGTTTTCGTGTCATACCCGTGTCCTATATTTTCATGAAAAGTTATGTCTTGCGTCCGTACTGTTGTGTCCGTTCATCATGGGCTAGAATCCTAGCATTCTATTGAGCCAAAACTCCATAGTAGTCCTTGCTTATAGTTTGAGTTGCCTAAGTTGCATTGGGTTTGTCGGTACTTTCATCCTCTCATCTTGACTTCTTGGGATGGACAATATAGCCATAAATTGATGTACCTTGCATTAGCCTTAACCTTGTTAATCAAGTCATCTTGAATGCTTGAATTGAGTTCAAAAATTTGTTGATTATGAGCCAATTGAAATTGTCTAGAACTCGGTGCTCTCCAAGTTTGTAGTCGTCCATAGCCTCAAGTCACCCAAAATTGAATCTTGAGCAATTCACCCAAGAGTTGTTTTTATTTTGGTCCTCATTATTAGGATGCTAAATTCACTCAAGAAACTTGTGGAAATACCCATTTATGAAGGTAATTCACATAAAAGAAATTGTTAATTCCCCTAGAGTACTCACCAACCGACTTAGGAATTTTCATTATAGGAACTCGCCAAGGGTAATCTCCCTCAATTTAGAACTCATCTAAAGTTTCCATGCTTAGCAATGTACTATAAGCCTAACTGGCACATTGTACAATAAGTGTTGTAGCCAATTCTATAACGCACTTGAGAGACTCATGAAGTAATCCATTTATACAACAACAACAACATCAAGCCTTTATCCCACTATGTGGGGTCAGCTACATAAATCCTTTTTCTTCATTGTGCCCTGTTAAGAGTCAAATTCTCATTTAAATCTAATAAAGAAAGGTCGTTTCTAATATTTTATAACCAAGTCTTTTTAGGTCTACCTCTAGCTTTCTTAACATAGGCCAAATCTAATACATCTAGTCTCCTAACATGGTAATCGGAAGGCCTCCGTTTTACATGACCAAACAATCTAAGGTGACTCTCTAATCTTATCTGCCACCGGAACTACTCTAACCTTTTCATGGATATGCTAGTTTTGTATCTTGTCTTTAAGAGTAAATCCACTCATCCACTTGAGCATCCTCATCTCAGCAACACTAAACTTAATATTATGCTTCTCTTTTGATGGCCAACATTCTGCGTCATAAAGCATTGCAGGTCTCATGACCATCTTATAAAAATTTCCCTTTAAGTTCGAGTTGTACTTTTCTATCACACAACAAACCCGAAGCATTCCTCCACTTCAACCATCCAACTTGAATTCTACTAATAATATCCCCATCCATTTATAGAGGCAATTTAAAAAAAAACTTGTCAATTCCCTCAAACGATTAGTGGTTCTCATCAGAAGAACTCGTCAAGGGTACTCTCTTTCAATTTAGAACTCAGAAGACGTGTCCCTGATTAGCAATTGACCACAACCTAAATCACATATTGCACAACTTGCTTTCTAGCCAATTCGATGATGATGACCTAGATAATCTCCAAAAATAGAAAGTAGTCGAGCACAGGCACATGATAAATTATGATGTAAAAAAATCACATAAAAAATATGATGCAAAATCTTACCATAATTATTTATTAAATGTCTATTTGAATTATTTTTCTGTAGCTCGGTTCAACTCACTCTTATCCGTTTAAAGAGGTTTGGCCGGATTCTCTGTAAATCAATTTCCTAAGAGATTTATTGATACCTAGCATTTCTCTCCTTTGGGCTTTTTGTCTTTGATTCTATCTAGCGAAGTCATGGGATCTTTCTATGGACATTTTTTAATCCATAAACGTGATGTAGGAGATGATTTAATTTAATTTGTTTTTTAATTTGCGTCCTGAATGTTCAAGCTCTGTTTAAGTAGAAAAGAAAAATCCTTCTATTTTCGTTCGTTTTATTAACTTGCATATTGCTTGAAACCTTATTAATTGAAGTGGAATGTTGAAAACTTCAGTCCATGTTTTTCTCTTCTTGTGGGGCTCAGATTTTTGACCATTATTTCTTTAGCTTTCTGTTCTCGAAAGCATGGCTCAACTAAGCAGGCATTATTGAAAAATACTGAGATTCACTTTTCATTATTGCTGCACTTATTTTCACAGGATTACACCGGCAAGCAAGTTACTGTTAAAAATCTGTATGCAGTTCTGCTTGGTAACAAGAGTGCTCTCGATGGTGGAAGTGGTAAGGTTGTGGATAGCAAGCCAAATGATCGGATATTTATATACTACTCTGATCATGGAGGTCCTGGTGTTCTAGGTAACTAGTTTCATTCCTAGACCTAATCACGATTCAATTGTATTAATCACAGACCTTGCTGACAATCAAAAGCTCTCCAGGAATGCCAAACTTGCCATACCTCTATGCCGAGGATTTTATCAGTTTGCTACAGAATAAATATGAATCCAATAGCTACAGAGAAATGGTTGGGAACTTTGATTTTCTTTTAATGAAAGCAATTGTGTTCTCAGACAAAGTGTAAATATGATAATTTACTCAATTGGCAGGTTATCTACGTCGAATCATGCGAAAGTGGTAGTATGTTTGAAGGTATGATGTCAGAAGACCTTAAAATATATGTGACTACTGCTTCAAATGCAGAAGAAAACAGTTGGGGAACATACTGCCCAGGGATGGTTCCCCCTCCTCCTCCTGAGTATTCGACTTGCCTTGGGGATTTGTATAGTGTGTCTTGGATGGAAGATAGGTTTGTTTGTTGATCTCATCATATTAAAATATTCATTGAAAGCACGGTTTTAATTTTGCATCAAATAATTATAAAATATATTAGTGTAGAAATATCATGTAGTTGGCTCTCTCCCATAGGCTTAGACTTTTGTGTTGAAAATAGGTTTGAGCACTTGTGCAGTAGGCCTAATTTTTCCCTCTTTTTGGTCCGCTCGCCTTGACAAATGTTATCAGAAGCCGATGCTTCTGATGAGGTTGAGCGATTCATAAGCTTCTTGGCTCTAATTGGTCTTTGGTTCTTTCTGTGATGAGCCAGATTTAATAGTAGGTGGACTTCATGGAGACTCAACATAGTTTAGTGGACTTCTGGTGTATGATATACTTGATGCTGAAACAGTTTTTTTTTATAGACCAAGTGATGGCCCATGCTGAGAGTTCTTACATGAGAGACTTTATTAAGGCATGCGAGTATTGAGTTTTAGACACACGTCAAAATAGTTGAAATATATATATTTCTTGACATGCCAAATGGTTTGTCCTATTAAGCTTTTGAGTTGAAAACATGTTGAATATTGTTCTATCAAATTCAACTTTTGTCTCTCTTCGATTTATACTCTCTTATTAGTTTTTTTGCTCAACAGCAGGAACTAGACTTTCCTTGGAATAGTTTAACAATGTTTTTAACTAACTTCTCTTCATTGATGCTATAGAAGAAGGGTACTGTGTTATCTATTTTTCCAATTGACCTCATAGAAATATTGCTAGAATTGAGTTAGCTAATATCGTTTGCACAACTGCAGTGAGAGCCATAATTTAAAGCTGGAAACAATAGAGAAGCAATACCGAACAGTAAGCTGCCATTACAAAGTTCTTTGCAAATTGAATTCCCTCCTGAGTTGCCTAATGGAAATTTAGATCTCTTTTATACAAAATAAGATTAACTTTTTTCCTATGGCAGGTGAAGGCAAGGACATTGAATTTTAACACTTCTAATGCTGGGTCACATGTGATGGAGTATGGGACCAAAAGCATCAAAGCTGAGAAGTTGTATTTGTACCAGGGATTTGATCCTTCAAATGCTAACATCAGTGATAATAATCTTCCACAAACCATTATGCCTTCAGAGGTCATAAACCAGAGAGATGCTGATCTTCTTTTCATGTGGAAAATGGTCAGAACACTTTCTATATTTTTTAATCCTTTCATAGAGCTTAATTTTTTTGCATTTACTTTCTTTAGAATACTTACTGAACTGTTGCCATTGGAGGTTACAATTGTATTTTATGGAAATTTATTCCCCTCGCCAAGACTCAATTACCTCTTATTTATAATCAGAAAATATCTCCACAAGTAACAAATTTATCGGAAGCCTCATAGATATCTGTATAAAGAACGAAAGTAAAGCATGCCAATCATGCGAAGTCACAAATCCCATGCTGCTACAATACCCAAATTCTATTAATAGAAGATTGCAAAACATGAAAGCAACAAGGAATCCATACTCGTTGCCACAACCCACCAAGATCAATGAAGCTAAGTTACTATACTTTAGAAACTCAATTAATTATCCAATCATAGCCTAGAAGTCCTCAAATCATTGTAAATTTTAAGTAAAGGCTCATCAACATCATCTTGAAGTCACTTTCCAACAGCAGGATTGCTATTGTCACAGCTTAAAAAAGTTATAACAGTGACTAATTCTCCAAACAACGTTGATTGAAGCTAAGAAAGATGATTAATACCAATCCAATTTAGCATTTGAAACCAAATTGAACCATAGGGTTTATAAAGGTACATAACATTAGAGAAGACGATCTGCTTTTTTATGTGATCATCATATGTGGATCATCATAAGCATGTTCATCAAAAGAAAGAAGACTAAACTTTTAAAGGAAATAATTACTAAAATAAATAACATAAAATAAAGTCAAGACAATGCTTAGATTGCCAATCCACTAATCTTAGCAACTTTCTATATTTTTGCTAAATATAAACTTTGAGATTTGCACATTCAACCTGGCATAAAAAAAATTCAGCATTGGTGAATTGTTGAATTTAGCCGACCCCAGGTAGTGGGACAAAGGCTTGTTGTTGTTGTTGTGGTGAATTGATATTTGTGAAGTAGATCTTGGCATAATTACTCTACTTTTTTGGTACAAGGTCGGGATGACTATCAATAAAAGTGTTGAATGTGAATTCCTAAGGAGAGGTGAAACAAGAGAGTAATCCAAGGTATTGGTGACCAATCTATGATATGAAGTCAAATTAGATACATTGAAGATTAACAGAATTTTCTACAATTTTAACTGATAAGTATTTGCCCAATGTGCCTTCCTAGTAGTTAATTTTACAAAGGCTTCAATATAAAATATTTCTGGGTTTATATTTATTTATTTGGTTAAATTGACCAATCAAAAGTAGTTGAAATGGATTGGGGATTATACTCCTAACATCCTAATCTAAAATTATTTTTAAGGGTTTGATTTGGTTTGGTCGGTTAAGTTAGGCTAATACATTTGGGAAGGTGGATGTCTCTATCTATTTGGATTCCAAAGAGACATGTTGGGCTATTTCGATGAATTGGCCTTCTTAAAGTTATCTAATTGTGTTGGGCCCAACTAGAGTCCTTTTCCTTGCGTCCTTGTCTAGAATCGCTTTCAATGGTTAAACTTGATTTGGTTACTTGGTTGGCTTAACCTAGCTTAGAAAGTGAGATCCTCTTTTACGGGAGTTTTTGGCTTATTTGACTAATTCTGATCAAACAAATGGTCAAATTGGGTTGACCAAAGTTAGGTATGTTTAAAACATCCTTAAGATGCTCCATGTCCAATGGATTAAGCTAATTTGATGTTTGTGGTCAACTTGATTCATTTGACCTATTTGGGCAAATAGGTAAAATTGGGTCAATTGAGTTCAGTTTGTCTGATTGATGAGTTAGTTGACAATATGAAGCAGGGACATTCTTTATGAACCTAAGATTCATTCAAATTAATTAATCTGAAGTTTAATGATAGTTTCGTCAATTTGAACTCTTAAGGGTTAGTTGGATCAAACTTGATTTTAGAGAACCAATTGGCTAATTTTTGAGGATGTTGACCTCCACAGAAAAGCAAAAAAAAAAAAAAATGACGCTTACAAATCCCATGCTAAAAAAAAAAAAAAAAAAAAATGACGCTTACAAATCCCATGCTGCCACAATGGATCCCCAATGAATACGGACAGGCGACACACCATATGTAAGCAAGTATAAAAGATTGTAGTAAATGCAAATTCCTTCACCATAAACACAATAATATACATGTAGACGATGATAAGCAACAGACAATGAATGCTAGGGTGCCATGCACTTGTTGCATGTCATCCGCCTTTGTCTTTGGGAATCAGTGTATTTGTCTGATACTGAATGGTTGTTGACTTCAGGGGCACCAATGACCTATCGTAGAAGATTCGTCACACGCACAACATGCTATCTACAAACAAACATAGAAGCCTGTGATGAATGCAATTATCTACAAACAATTGCAGAAGATTCGTTAGTGCATGACAATTTACCTGGATAAAGCAACAAATGATCTGCAGTGCAACACTACGATTCACCTGTAAGCAAAATTGTGGGCCACTGATAAAATGAGGCAACATATTTGCGAGGTCAGGCTATCACGCCAAATAGATCAGTCTACTTGCCGACGAAAGGTGGAAGGTTCCTAATACGTCGTATATAGTATCTGCCAGCAGAAATACAATCGTGCAGGTTGAATGTTGACGAAGATGACAACATGCAAAAGATGAATGAGCCAATTGTATTGTCAACGCGTTGCTACGCCACACCATCGGATCCGCAACATTCATACAAGCGGACAAAAGACATTTATAAATTCCCAAATGAGACCCAGCGCACTGCTAAATCACGCCTCCGGATCCGAAACACTTGTACAAGCGAACATAAGGTGTATCTCAAGCTTTAAATGAAATTTTGCACAAACTTTAGCAACGATCATTTAGCTCAAGTAATTATATTTAAATTTTTAAATGCTTACCCCCTTATGCATTAAAATATGATTACCCGTTTGGGTCCCAACGAGCGTGTTATAGGTAAACACGCGATGTCTGAGGATGATGCGCAAAGGAATGAACCTAAGTTCGAGCTCAATCCTTCTATGTTAATAGATAGGAGTTGACACGACTCGAACCATCAAATAAATATATGGTCGTAACGTCCACTGGGATATATTTTTTTACATTCATATTAAACCTTCGAGGTTTATAATAAGAAAAATTCACTAATAAAGGCATAAAACTAACAATGAACTCAATCCCCTGTCAACAAGTAGACAGAGTTGACAAGATTCAATCAACAAAAATGAATACCCTATAAGTACCCGATGATGGCCATGTTGACATGAATCTCAATCGGAGCGAGACCTAAATACTTGATAATGCCTCCCAAATATTCAGGAAAATTAAAAAAAAATTGAAATAAAACATATTTAAAATTGAAATAAAACACCTAAACACTTAAAGCAAAAATATTCATCCAACCTCCGCAACAATTTGCCGAGGTGGATAAATATGAAAATCACTTCAGCTCACAAAGAGTGAATGTCTGGTCCAGAATATCACTAGAATTCATTCTCAATCTGTCTCTTGCCTGTAAGGATGTGATGTATGTCATCTAACCGGTGGTTTTGCCGCCAAATGGCATAACAGGTTAATGATTACGACCGAGACCCTATGACTGTGTGGTTTTGCCGCTAAATGGCACAAACCCAATATTTTTTTTTTCTCTTTATCATTCGGGAAAGACAAGAAAATCTCAGGGTAACAAACATTATCTAGAATTTCTCTTATATTCGAACCCATAGCTGATGATAGAACTAGAATAGATATTTTTTGTTTTCTACTTACACGGGCCCATATCCTTGCTTTTCTATCAATTTCTAATTCCGACCTTCCCCCCCAATCCGATATTATAGTACTGGTATAGACAGAAATTCCGTTATGTTCCAATTCAGAGCCTGTATGTTTCCCAACGACGTAAAATCATTGAGTAATGAATCAATAGGATATGCTCGATAGACCACAAAGACCTCTGTTAGCTAATGTAGATTCAAATTTGTCCCTTAGATAGATATTCATTCTAGGTCTACAAGATACCCTTGAATGAAACAACCCATGGCTGCCGACAAGGATCCTTATGTCGGGTTGGGTCGGCTACCTTCTCTGCCTAAGTAGACAAGGGATCATGATAACCCGGGATGACGGAAACATGGGATCTTGATCGGATCTATCATCACTACCTTTTCCTTCCACTTTAAGTGCAAGATGATAAATTTCTAATTTTTAATATTAAATTGTCAAATACTAAATTATGTTGTTACTATACTCCAAATACTACATATCTGCTTGATGACTAGCCTTAATTGAAAGTTTTATCTCGTTATCGGGAGGGGTAATTAACTATAAGGGCTTACGCTTATTGGAAACCTGAACTCAGATCATAAAGTCCTCACAAAATGAGGGCGAAATTTCTAGGTGATGTCTTATTCACAACCCAATCTGCCTTTTGAAAATTTGTCTTGGAACATACTAGTTAAAACTCTTCTCGACGACCCAAAAATAAAAGAAAGGGGCCGCAAAGAGGCCAGGGCATGAATTTTTGTTGCCCACAGGGACTAATTAGGATATGCAGATTTTTACTAACCTGGAAGTCTTCCATGAAAGATTTTGAATCCATTGATTAGGAAATTGAGGGTCTTAAGTTTAAATTGGTCATGATATACCAAAAATGGGCCTAATTATTATATTATTTTTGCAGTATGAGCAGTTAGACGACAACTCAAATAATAAAACAGAGATTCTCGAGGAAATCACAACAACAATGAAGCACCGTTTGCATTTGGACAGCAGCGTTGATTTTATTGGAAAGCTGATTTTCGGATCAATCAAGGGTCCATCCATCCTCAGAAGCATTAGATCCTCTGGTCAGCCATTGGTTGATGACTGGGATTGCTTGAAATCCATGGTAATGAAAATTGTTTCAGGCTTCGTTTGGGATGATTTTTTTATTACTTCTTAAAACAATTTTTTAGTATAAAAATTCTAATTTTTGTACTAGAAAATTGCTTTAAGAAGCGGCAAGAAAGCCGCCCCAAACGAAGCCTCAAGCTTGAGTATTGAATTGGTTGCAGCTAGCTGTTTCTGAAGCCAGTTCTTCCTGTTTATAACCACAAATACATGACAATCTACGCAGGTTCGCATCTTTGAGTCCCACTGTGGCTCGCTCACGCAGTATGGAATGAAGCACATGCGAGCTTTTGCAAACATTTGCAACGAGGAAATCTCCATGGATGCAATGGAGGGAGCTTGTATTAGTGCATGTGGAGGCTATAACTCTGCAAAATGGAGCCCGCTGAGCCATGGTTACAGTGCTTGATCACAGCACAGGTATGGAGTTTGGGTAAGCTTTATATATATGTAAAATGCTTTGTTGATTAGTATGAGATAACAGGGTCAAATGCTTTGCTATAGAAGTTTATGCGTTATCTATTAAAAACATGAACTGGAGATGTTCTGCTTTGTATATTTTTGCTTCAGGTTTGTCTATAAAGTATTGAGTGTGCAGGTTTTTGTTTTTTTAACGGTAAATGGGAAATGGGTAGGAAATAGGCTTATTAGCTCTTGCAATATTGAGCAAAATTGAACTAGGATTCAAATCGGTGGGGATATAGATCATAATTAATTAGTAACCATTAAATATTTCTGATTATTCTAATCTGACGGCTTAATAATGCTAGCAAAAATTAACTTTTAGATAAAAACAAAGCTAATCATTGATATGCAACATGAGCTCAATTATTTAAACTCATAGGTCATGATAATTAACTAAATCATAGGTACCCAACACTATGACGGTTAGAAAGATGAAATTATAATATCTTTTATTGTATAAGGGCGCCTATATATAGGTAATAGGAGAATAATAATGAAACTATAATTAATAAAAATATTCTTGACAATAGGTGATATGTCACCAAAAATGATCTTGATCGTGCAAGTTGGAAGCTTTCAAAATTAAATTCGGGATCATCAGAATTCAAATTTAAGCAAATTTATAGTCAAACTGAACGTGACGAGCATAACAACACCAAAATCGATCTGATCCAAGCCCAAATGGGTCAAAATTGGGGCCCGGATTACATTTGAATGGTTCAAAGAATTATTTGAATGGTAAAATGATATGCAAATATTGCATGTTTATATAGTTAAATTGAGCGGCTCGGCGAGGAGAATCCAATGAGCCCTAGATCGATGAATTCTGACATCATTAAGGTACTTGAACAATTGAAAAACTTTATATGATCGAGGAATCAATGAGCCATCCGAGGGATCACTTCGAACTTGCCCTAGGTCTTCTCTATATTTACGGGGTATGCCACTTATGAAAATTTATAAATAGACCCCTACTCTCTACATGAAGGGGACATTTGGCTAGAGATTGGAAAGAGCTATGAAGCTTCAAGAGCTCCAGCACCACCGCCCACTGCTGACCGTTGCTGGACTTCCACTTGGCCGCCGACCGCTGCCAGAATTCAGCCCGACCTTCGTCAGATCACCGTTGGACCGCCGACCGCCTCCAAACTTCCATTCGGTAGTTGAGCATCGCCGGACTTTTGCCCAACATTCGTCGGATCATTCCCCATCAGTTGAACTTCTATCCAAACTCCGTCGAACTTCCGTCTGTCCGTCGCCAGACCTTTGCCTAACTCTCCAAATTACTGTAATTTGAACGCCTCTAAGTTAAGGGACGGATCAGCCTTTGTAATTCACTCAAATTTTGTGGAATCTTTTCACCGGGGCGAGGCCCAGTGATTTTTCTCTCTTTGGGCTTTTCACGTAAAAAAGATCTTTACTTCTCTCTCTGTTTACGTGCTGGATATCCGTGCATCGCTAAGACTAAAAATTTATTCACTCTACCGCCGCGAATATTCTAGCCCGCAACAATAAGGATACATTGCAATATTAATGACTATATATTTATACTATAGTAGATATTAGACACATGTTTGGAGATTTATATGGCAATGAATAGCTTCAATAACTTCTTACACAAACTCATGATGCCTTTTCAAGAATCATCAAGAGTTTATCTATTAAAATCGAATATATGAAAGTAAATAAGAGTTTATAAACTAGTTTGCAATCTGTAGATGTAGGCTCCAAAAATTTGCGATCTAGCCCATCCCACCATTGCAAATGGCTATTGTATCTTCTTGCTCGTTGATACCATCTTTTATAAAGGGAAATACCAAACATACTGCTAACAATTTGTTAATGATAATTCCAATGCCTCAAAACCACTCTTATTTTCATTATGAGAGTCATCTTTTATAGTTTATAGTTATTATATTCTATCAATGTTTTAGTATACGGTTAATGTCAAAGCCTATATATAATTCATAGGTTCATGTAAGGGATATTCCCAATATAATGAAGCAATAAAGGCTGTGAGTTCTCTCTCCTGCTATCCTACTATTCTCCCTCCCTCTCTTCTCCGTGAAGGGTGTTCTTGCAGCCAGACAGGAAATTCAACAACCTCCTTCCTTTAAAATTTTCCCAAAAGTTGGTATTAGAGCTTGGTGTAGAATGATTATGGAGGTAAGTAGGAGTTTCTTGTAATCAAGAAAGGGTGAAGGGACGAGACGAGGTCTGGTTCAGCGAAGGGTTGCTGTTATTAGTCTCTAGCTTCTGCACTTTCACTTTTAAGGGACGGGAAGGAGTTACCGTTGCGAGTTGAAATCGCATGGAGACGGGCTTGGACGCGCGGCTGAAGGAGAAAGTCATGGGTGTAAGTTGGATTCGCACACAGAAGCAAGAAGCAGGCGCTGCGCAGGGCACAATCACATGGATCGTGGGAGGAACATCGATGGGTGCAGGCGCGCGTAGGTTAGAATTATTAGGAGCTCGAGATGGGGCCGTGAATTGGAATGCACAATGGAGCCAGGCGTGAACAAGATTGGGCTCAGGTCGATGGACTTGCTCATGGAGTTCGTGCAGAAAGTCGGTCGGATTGCAACGGGCACGTTGCTAGGCTAATTTCTATTGACAACATGCTATCTTTTGAGCAAATTGGTGGAGAGAGAAGAGGCAACCAATGTGACAGTCTGGTGGAGTTTTTTTTTTTATACATTGCAAATTTGGACAAGGTGGGGATTTTTTTTATATATACATTGTGAAATTGGACCAAGGTGTAGAATGTTAGTATTTGGTTCAGCTTTAAGTTAGTGTTATTATGCAAGACACCACGCCAGTGTCAATGTCTATACATAATTCATAAGTTGATATAAGGGGTAATACCAATAGAATGAATCAATAAAGGCTCTCAGCTCTCTCTCCTGCTCTCCTTCTATTCTCCCTCTCTCTTCTAGCGAATTATTACGTCCGGTGATCGGACGTCCTGACATCCAATTCAGACTCGCCACCCGATGTATTTTGGTGACGTGCTGTGTCTGAATTGGTGTCCGGACGAATCCGGACACCAGACGTAATAATTTGCCCTCTCTTTTATGTGAAACAATGAAGGGTGCTCTTGACAAGAAATTCAAGAATCTCCTTCAATTTTTTCCCAACAAATATCTTATCCAATTACAAGGAATATCATCCATTATTATCTACGATTCACATTATTCAAATCGTTTTTATTTAACACACTATTAGATTTTTCCTCCTTACTAGTTTTTCTACATAAAGAACATCAACCTTATTTGATGTGCTTCCAAATTATTTATTTTACAAAAAATCAGAACATTTCTTTCAAAATTACACACAACTCTATAAATCTTGAATCATATTTATTACATATCACAACATATACAAACCCTAGAGGCTATTTTAAATTAGTTTTTTTTTACTTAATATATTTGAGGGCTCATTTAAGTTTTGTTTAAGACAAAATTTTTAATGTTTTTTAAAGCATCTTTTTAGCGCACAAATTTTTTAAACTAAAAATTTTCGTACAAAACAAGAGCTTAAAAAAAAAAATTGCTCCAAACGAAACCTTCGTTGATTGAAGTCAAACATCATTTAATTAATTAAAAAAAATACATCTAATTTTTTTTATTCTACACAAAACATCTCTCAAACTCATATGATTTCATTTATTCTCAAGTTTTATGTAAAGTGTCTTCATAAATTATTTAAAAAAAAAATTAATATTTAAAGTTAGATAAAAGTGCTGTTCAACAAGCAAAAATAATAATTTAAAAAAATTGAATTTTTTTAATATATACTATTTTTGAAATTTACAATTTAATTCGATGAATATAGAAATCAACATTTTAATTTGAAAGTCTACAAATTTCATAAAAATTTAATACATTTAAAAACCTTTTTTAAAAGTTTGAATAGTTTAAAAAATAGGTAAAATTAATTATAGCCATTCAAAGCATATGTTAAATAATTAAAAAAAGAGAGGATAATTTAGGTAATGCTAAATGTCAAAATTTTTCGTCAGAATAATTCTTAAATTTTTATATATTTTTTGAGATAAATACAATATATATTATTTATAGGTAAGAACATTTCTTTACAAACTTTGAAGTTGGTAACTGCACGTGCCACACCTATCGGGAAATCATAAGCAAAATAGCAAATAAAGAGAAAAAAACTCCAAATTACTCAATAGGAATATATCGATGACAAAAATTTAAATAAATTTACAATAGCGGCTAAAAGTAAAAAAAATCAAAACAAACAGCGTGTGGAGGCGGTAGCGCAGTTCCGAGTTCGATTTTATTTTTTGGGAAAGAACGCATACTATATTTAGAACGCCTTAAAACTCCGGCGACCGCTACTACGGCGATCAATGGCGCCGGCGATTCTATTACTCACCCACTCGAACCGCGAAGTTGGGCAGGGTATGGTGATCCCCGCCGGATGTTGAAACCCAAACTCCTCTTCTGCCTCCCTTAACAGCTCTCCAAATAGCGGATGATTACAGTAAAGCACCGGGACAAAATACCTCTGCGGTGGCCCCGTCTCCTCTCCGCCGCCGACGTACACAACCAGGTGCCCCTTCGGAGGAAACGATGGCTTCTCTTCCTCACCTCCGCCAAGTAAAGGCGCGCAAAATCGCTTCTTTTGAGAGAAAGCCCGCCTGAGGAGTTTGGTTTCCACCGGCGCCGGTGATCGGTCCGATTCGAGGTGGCCGTAGCCTTTGAAAATTTTCATGAGAATGTGGGAAAGAAACATTTTTTTTGTTGATGGAGGTTGGGGAAGCGTAGAGAGGCGTCGGCTTTTAAGGATGGGAAGGGCGCTGAAAAGATCGTGTTTTCATGCAGCCCAACCTATTAATTGATAGCTTAGGTTTTATTTGGGATAATTTTTTTTTAGTGTTTAATTTTTTTATTGTAATTAAAATTTTTATTTGGTTATTTATTTTTTATATTTTTGAAAAAAAATTATGTTAAGAAATTAATTTTATAATTATTTTAAAATTTTGATTTTTCATAACAGTTTGATAATTATATTTGTAAAAAAATTATAACTGTTGTGAGCGGGCCGTTAGCCTTTTAATTAAAAGATTTTAAATTTAAAACTTATAGATAGGATGCTTCTAAATTTATCATTTAATTTTATCAAAATTTTCTTTAAATTATGAATTTTATTGGCTTAGCCAGCAATTGCTAGCTCTAGTAAGAATGGAAACGATACAAAAAATAATATATTATTATTATTGTTGTTTGGAATATTTAGTCACAATAGAGAAATATAGAGTTTATCTTCTTAATTTTGCATGAAGATCTAGCACACAAACATATAGAAAAGATGTGGGCATTAATCACAAGAGACTTGAATTTTTACATGAAAACCCTAGAAAAGGAAAAAAAAAAAAAATCGCAAACCAATTGAAATGATTACACAGGTATTAGTGGTTGATTTCAAATGAGGCCCTTCCTCGAAGGGCATTGACTCAAAGTAGTAAATATACACTGTATATAACATAGTACATAGTCAGAGAATGGCATGACAAACTGTTCTTAAGAGAGTGTCGGTATGTTCATTTGATTAGTAGGGTCATAGTCGACGGGCAATTGTGGTTGGAAGGAGCGTAGTCAATAGGTGACGGTGGTTGACGGGGATCAGAGGAAGGCTCGTTAGTGGCATTCATATGGAGGATTGACGATGATGGTAGGCCAGAGGTTCAACAGCGGTAGCCTAGTGGCGCAGATTCGTCATGGTGGAGCTTCGTCCTAAGAGCTCCCCCCCATGAGAAGAATGATGTCTATTTATATTTTTTTGGGGAGTGATATGACTATCATTTAAGTGCCTCAATAATGTCAAAATTTGACGATCTTGGGCTCATTGGATTCTTTTCGTCTGGCCACTCGATTAGACTATAAGCATGTTATAGTTGGATATCATTTGGTTATCCAATTTATGCTTTGAACCTTCCAAATGTGGTCCAGGCCCTCGATTTAGACCCATTTGGGCTCAAGTTAGACCAATTTTGGTGTCGTTAGGTTTGTCCTTTCAAAACGTTCAGTTGAGTATAAGTTTGTTGAAATTGGAGTTCGGGTTGTCCCAAATTTTATTTTGAAAGTTTTGGGTTCATAATTGCTTCGAGAATCGTGCCTGATCAAGACAATTTTTTTTCAAATTACAATCATACTTTATGTTTGATCATTATTTTTTCACTATTTTAAAGAATTTTTTGTGCTAGAAAGATGATTTCTATAGTAACTTTTAAAAAATTTACTTCACAACAACTTTATAATCACCTTTAAAAAATCTACGACATCCCAAATATATGGACCCGAACGCTTCATTTGTAACAACTTTCTTATGCTTTGCTTTTTAGATTGCTACCATACTTTATGTTTGGCCATTGTATTTTTCCCATTTTTAGTAAATTTTTATGCTTAAAAGAAGCTTTCTATAACAATTTTAAATATTTTTCTCAGTAGCCAATAGTCACAAAGCTATCTCAAACAAGACAAAATTAAAAATCACCAAAACTCGTGTTGTAATTAAAATTTTATTAGAATTTCATAACTAATATCTCATTAATTTTATAATTCCAACGTTTTTTAGATATTATTAATCTAAAAGTAATAAAAAAATAATTAAATTGAAATTCTAAAATCAATTAAATTACTAAAAAAAGTTATCATAAACTGAATTTGGCGGTTCAAAACTTTGGACTAAAATTCTACCGAAAAAATATTATTATTATATTAAATTTATTAGTCAAAGCTCTCAATTAAAAGATAAAGATTAGCTACGAATTTTTGGAAACCTAAGCAAAGAAAAACTGCATTAATTATTTAGAAAAATAACTTCATCAAAGTTGAAAATTTGTTGGAGGAAAGAAAAACTGCATATTACATTTATATTTTTTGCACCATCTAAATATTTTGCTTTTGTATTATTTGATATTATCATTATAAATGATATAATTTAGGGGATATTATTTGTCTGAAAAAGAAATATAATGTAAAAGTAATGCAATGTAAAAAGAATTAATACATTTGTTGCGTCCCGGAATATTCGCGACGGTAGAGAAAAATAAAGTTTAGCGTCTTGACATTATACGAAGATCCAGCACGCAAGAAGAAAGAGAGAAGTAAAACACCCGATCTTTTTTACGTGGAAAGTCCGAAGAGGGAAAAACCACGGGGCCTCGCCCAGGTGAAAAGATTCCATTAAACTTGAGTGAATTATAAGGGTTGACCCATCCCTCGATTTATAGAAGGTCAGATTATAGTAATTTGGAGAGCTAGTCAAAGGTCTAACGACGCTCGGACAGGAGTTTGACGGCTTTTGTGCAGAAGTTCAGTTGACAATGAACAATCCGACGAAGGTCCAGCGGTGGACGGTGGACGGAAGCCGGGCGGTAGTTTGACTAAGGTCATGCTGAAGTCCGACGACGGATGTCGGCCGGGCGAAGGTCTGACTGCGGTTGACGGTCGGGCGATGGTCCAACAATGGTCGGGCTAAAGTCCAGAGGCGGTCGGCTACCGGGAGAAAGTCCGGCGGCCGGGCGGTGGTCCAACTAAGGTTGGGCTGAAGTCCGGTGGTGGTCGAGGCCGGGCGGTGGTCTGACGAAGGTTGAGCTGAAGTCCGACGGTGGTCGGCGGCCGGGTGGCGGCTGGGTGGCGGCAAGGCAGAGGTTTGACGAAGGTTGGGCTGAAGACTGGTGGCGGTCGGCGGCCGGGCGGTGGTCCGACGAAGGTCGGGCTGAAGTCCGGCGGCAGTCGGCGGCCGTGCAGTGGTCCGACGAAGGTCGGACTGAAGTCCAGCGGCTGGCGGCCGGGCGGTGGTTCTAGAGCTCTTGAAGCTTCAGAGCTCTTCCCAATCTCCAGCCAAAAATCCCCCTCATGCAGAGAGTGGGGGTCTATTTATAGATTTTCATGAGTGGCACACCCGTAAATTTAGAGAAGATCCGGGGCTGGTTCGGAGTGCTCCATCCGATGGCTCGTGTATTGATTCCCCCGATCGTAGAGAGTTTTTCAACTGTTTAAGTGCCTTAACGATGTCGGAATTCAGAGATCTTGGGCTTGTTGGATTTGTCTCGCCGATCCGCTCGATTTGACTATAAGCATGCCATATTTGAAAATCATTTTATTGTCCAAATAAGACTTTAACCCTTCCAAATGCGGTCTGAGCCCCTGATTCGGACCCATTTGGGCTTGGATTGGACCAATTTGGTGTTGTTTGGTTCATCTCTTTGAGATGTTCCGTTTGACTATAAGTTTGCTGAAATTGGAATTCAGATAATCCCAAATTTAATTTTGAAGGTTTCCAACTCGAATATGCCTCGAGATTCGTGCTTGATTAAAACAATTTTTGAGGATGTATCAACATTGATATTATTTGGAAGAGTGTAATTTTTTTTTTGGATGAGTGTAAAAATGAAAGTGAATGTTTTTCTTATTAGGTTTGAAGTAAAATGAATATAACATTGATGTCAGTGGTAGGTGACTGTGGCGGCTGGAGATCAGCTGTGGGTAGGGCATGTGATTGGCATTAGGGGAGGCGGTGTTGGCCTATGGTGGTTTGTGGCGGCTGGCGGCCATTAGCGGCAAGAGATGTTGCTTGTCGTGAAAATGATTTTCGTTCAAAACTAAATGAGTTTAGTTTAGGTCAAAAAATGAATTAAAATATTTTACACTATATATTTTTTACTTTAATTTGATTTCCTTTTTCATCCAACAAAAAATTAATATTTTTAAAATTTATGTAAATGATTTATTTTACATGCACTTTATTTCAAATCAAATAATCTCTTAAGTGAAATCAAAATTTTGATAAAACTACAATTAGGATCAATTCACCCATAATTCTTTATTATATTTAATTGAATGAGTCATCTCCAATTATTATAACAATTATATTGTAAACAATATTCCATTCAATCACCGATGTTTAATTCTACAAATATTATATTACATTTGACAAATGAAATACAATTATAGCAATTAAAAACAAAATAAATGGCAGCCATAATTTTCAAAATTGCAGGATAATTTAAGAGATAAAAGCTTGATGTTGTTGTATTATGATGAGATTTCACTCTAGAAAAGCAAAAGGAAATAAAATTTTAAAAATAAAATAATTATAAAACCATAATTATCATGATAGAATCTTCAAGGCCATCCTTAATGAGGGCAGGTAGTTCACAACCAAAAACTTAGAATCAATATCCCGACCCAGTCTATCATGATTAAAACTGTTTTCGATATTCAAAGGCCGCTTATGGAGAAGATCTTTCTTGTGCATTGGCAAGTGACTTGCCATAGTTTATCGACCCGTACTCATTCGCAAACCCCCCTTTGCCATATCACTAGTGCTTAGACCTTAGTACTCCCGACCCGAAGTACCCCTTTTCTATTCATAGAGAGATCCAATCGTCAAAATCAAGAAAAAGGACATCATGGACCAAGATCCAAACGGATCAATCTTGTTGCAAGGTAGTGCCCAAGAAGAAGAAAAGGTGACTTTCTTCATGAATGAATGGTGAAAACTACATACATATAGATAAAGTTGGTTCAACCTTTACTGCATTTGAAATGAACAAAGGCCGCTTATGGAGAAGATCTTTCTTGTGTGTTGGCAAGTGACTTGCCATAGTTTATCGACCCGTACTCATTCCCAATCCCCCTTTGCCATATCACTAGTGCTTATACCTTAGTACTCTCGATCCGAAGTACCCCTTTTCTATTCATAGAGAGATCCAATCGTCAAAATCAAGAAAAAGGACATCATCGATCAAGATCTGAACGGATCAATCTTGTTGGAAGGTAGTGCCCAAGAAGAAGAAAAGGTGACTTTCTTCATGAATGAATGGTGAAAACTACATAGAGATAAAGTTGGTTCAAACCTTTACTGCATTTGAAATGAACAAATGGTTAGAAAGTATAAGTAGTGATGCTAATGTGGTAAAACTTTCTGCATAGAAACAATTTTCTCAATAAGATTTAAGGAGAAAACGAAGTAGTAATATATTATACTTTGGGATCCATCCCAATCAAAATGAATCTGAGCCATAGGATAAGAATCATGCGATCAGGAAGAGTTGAGCTGTATCTTTCAATAGTTCTTTTAAGCATTCTTTGTTCAAATCTTAGGAAAGTTTTCCAGTCAATCCTTCTGAAATTCAAATCATCAGATATTTTAATTCATTTGCCACTTCTTTTTCTTCTGCTTGTGCAATCAAATTTCTCTTATCCTTCAATTAAAATTTTAAATTATTATAACTCAAATCATAAAATGGTAGCAAGTAAAATAATTTGATAAAAATTTCTAAAAATGCTGCCTTTTGATCAAATTTGTAATAAGATTAATAAAAAAGACTTCCATTTGTTAAGAGACATTTTGATTGAAAATTCCATTCATATGCCTACCTAATCAAGAAAAAAAATATTATAGGCTTGAGCTCAGTTTGATTGCTTGAGCTTGATTTCTTAGTTTCAATTTAAAAATTTTAGTTTTTTTTAAAGAATTTTTTAATATAAATTTAATTTTAAAAAGTTAAAATATATTATATAATGCTAATTTAAATTAATTTTTAAATATATTTTAAGTTGATCGAGCAGCTCAATGAG